GAGATGCAGTAGTAGGTTGCGGAGTCACATGTAAAGAAAATTTTATGGTCCCTTCTACCTACCTACCTACACTTCGTACGTTGATAATTTTTATGCGAATAAATGATTGAAAAAAATATATACATGTACAAAATACATATATATGTACATACGTACATATGTTATGTATTTAATGTTAATTATTTAACAACGCGTCGAAATAAATAGGGCAGAGCGGGGCTTAAAGGTCCGCTGGTAAAAAGGTCCACCACCGATATCTCTAAAACAAGTAAAGTTAGGAATTTGTTAGCAACAATATCTGAAAGTAGAGAACAAAAGATCTATAACCAGTCCTCACATTAATTATTACAAAGTTGTTATCAGGGGTATAGCCATATTTAAAAATCGACAACAAAAGTATTGTTTTTTTGTTTACGGGGCCTTAATATAATTCTTAAGTAGACATTATTTAATTGTTTTCAACCGTTTTTTATATATCCTATACAATAAGCTTACATGTGGGCGGGTAAAAAAGAGCATCTGAACTTCTACCATGACAAAGATCTAAACTAGAAAGTAAATTAGTGGTATAAGGCATCGTGCATTTAGGCAAATTGCTAAAACTTCCCGTACCCAAAATTATTTTTTTTAAAAAAGATAAGTTTTTTTTAAATTTTGAAAAAAATAGATTTTTGAAAAATTTTGAATTTTTGGAACAAAAACTTATGAATTTTTTATTTTGAAATATTTTGGAAATTTTGAAGATTTTTTCAAAGCAATAACTGCTTTAGCTGCATAGAGTCGCACTATCAAAGCGCGTAAGCGCCGCGTCGCTGTCTAACAGACAAACGATGCTACGGAACCCATAGAAATATAAACAAAATTGATACACATCATTAAAATCGCCATATACATAATATCTGATAGTTTGATGTGCATATGTCTAATGATCATTTTTGATCGCCAAATGGCTTTTTTTTTTCTTTTTTTACTAGATCTCCGAAACCGGCCAAAAAATCAATACAAATAAAATGTTTTTTGAATTATTAAAATCGGACGCTCCGTTCTCTTAAAAACTGAGTTACTGTTTTTGGCACTTTTTGTCCCGTATCTTCGAAACGGGTCGACCAGCCTGTGCCAAAAACTAACCAACACGTTTCCTTATTAATATCCGCACACAAACATACACACACATACATACATTTTTTCCAAGGTATGCCAACATGTTCAGAAACCTCTAAAACGTAAAGATATGCAAAAATTTTCATTTTCGATTTTTTTGCGATTACTATAACTTACCCTGCGGGAAGAATTATGTTTAAAAAAGCAACTTTACGCGAGATAAATTATATTAGTTATTTTAGTTTAGTTATTTCAACTCTTCTGATAAACATTTCTAACGAAGTACCAGATCCAGGTTATATACAGTGATACCTTTGTAGTATGTACGGATAAAATTTATATTTTGCACGGGTTGAATAATGTAGCGATTATTTCGTTAAATCCCTTTAAATTTGATATTCTGGTTTTTGCTATTTACCGGGAAAAACATAAGAACTATAAATAAAATTAATTATTTCGTTTATTTCCTTCAAAAACCACACGTATATATGTATGCAGAGTCCACACAAGAAAAATGACATAGCTAGCAGGTGTTCTTCAAGGAGGAGGGTAACTAGAGGATGACACTATAGGTTTACTTAATAAATTTGTACTATCTAAACACAAATCAATTGATTCTTATTTGTTATTAATATTACAAGTTCAATGACGTATAAAAGCTGCATACTAGGAAAAATATGAATGAGTTTTATTCATTCATTTGTTCGCTAAATTACATCTAAAAAACATTTTTAAATTTTTGAAAAATTTTCCATGCTATTTCCATACAAAACTTTGATTGAATTGCGCGCTATCTAAAAGTTAATATTAAGAGTTAAAACTTTCAGAGAATTGTTTTTTATCAATTTGGAACCATTTGAGCCCCTGGGAGCAAGGAAATTCGAAAATGACCATTTTAAGGACCACCCTAATAAATATATATATATATATATATATATATTATATATATATATATATATATATATATATATAAAGTAATATTTCTATAATCGTATATGAGAGTGTGACACAATAAATAATAAACCAGATAACTGCATTGTTGTGTAGGGCTGGGCCGTTCTTGTCATAAAATTTTAACAAGTAGTCTCTGTTACGAAATATTGCCACACACAATAATATAACAGGGTTTTATAATCTTATACAAACCGAGAAATTGAGATAGAAATTCAAAATTAAATGCTAATTTTTTGCAAAAATAATGGCAAAAAAATATTAATTAGCGTTAGCCGTTAGCCATTAGTTATGATGTTACTTTTTACTTTAGTACTTTTTTTTTAAAGTAGGGTCTCTCAAAGCAAGTTGAATTTAACCCTTTCCACTCAGATGTTGCCGCTCTGGCGACAAAATACGTATTAATTCTGCGTTTAGCAAGTGGGGAGGTTTAAAAATTATAAATTTATAGTTCAAGGAAAAGTCTCGATTCTTGAAAACTTAGGACAATTGTGTTAATATTTTTACCGTGGTTCGAGAAATGTTATTCACGCATTGTAACGGTTGCAAAGATTAAATAAACAAAATTAATAAAAATTAACCACAATAACCAAAAAATGGTTATCATTTACCAAAGCTCTAAGGTTGCTCCTGAAAGCTCATAACTTTCAAACAACGTAAGATTTTCTTTGCTCATATTTTCAGGACAGTTAGGATCAATAGCACTACTATCACCCCGTTTCGGTTTGACGTTAAATTGTGGGATTCCCGAAATTAGTAGCATTTTGCATACATTGGTTGAATGTATGTCAGTGTAAAAACTAATTTTCTAACAATCTATCATACAATCTTTATATGAAAATGTACGACATTAGGGCAAATAATACTATGACATATAATAACATACAAATATTTATTAAGTTATCAAAAATGCAATTTATTATTTTTTAGCCCTGTATCATGCGTAAATCCACTATGCAAACATTCAAAGCTAAATAGATTTCAAAACACATTCTTAGCAAGGCTACAATAGCTATCTAAATAAACGGACACGTACAACATAATAAATTAATAGTAATGACTGGATAATCTAGCACAATTCAAATACATAGATTGATTGATAAAAAAATTACTGAAAAAATTAAAACATGCACAAGGAATGCATCAAGTATTTAATTTTTCATGCCGCCATATTTAATAAATATATGTTATTTGTTGGAGAACTTTTCTACATGATTGGTAGAAATCGCTATTAGAAAATTAGAAATCGGTATTAGAAAAATAAATTTGTACTTACAAATTGATAGATATATGAATTGATACAATTACTCTGTACAGAGTATGTCCTTTCACATACTTCGTTTTATTATTTACTAGATTTTTTTTATTAGTTATTAATGAGATTTATCTTCTTTCTGGAGAATGCTTTAAGGTGATCGTTTCACAGAACAACATGATGCTAAAAATGCTTCTATAAATTATTTCACATTTTAACGACTTACGTATTACTGGGCTCTTGGAGAAACTTATTTACAGAAAAGATTTCTACCGTAATAATTAATCAGTAGCTAATAATTAATCACAAAAAATAGTCGAAACCTCATGCGAAATCATTGCAAAATAAATTTGATCATGGTAAAATTGATTTTGGCAAAAAAGTGAAGGAGGGAAAGTCAGGCTAAAATTGTTGACTTGAATATTTTACAAAACCAACATAATGCAAAAATCATTTTCAATATCTACTATTCAAAATTTTAGCTTCTACTTGTCTACTGGAATCTATGACTTACTTGTATACAGGACTTTTGGATAAACTTAGGGGGCGTCCATTAATCACGTAATCGAGTTTTTAAGCATTTTTGGGCCCCCCTCCCCCTTGGTGATGCTTGGTGATATTCAAAATTAACCACCCCCTCGCCCGCCAAACATCAAGTGTATTTTTAGTTAGTGAAAAATCTAACATTTTTGATTTTTTTTTTGAAAATGTTTGAACTTTTTTAAAAAAATAGTTAAAAAATAAATACACGTGATATCTTACTATACCCCTCGCCCCCCCCCCCCGTGATATTTCGTGATTTTTTACTATACTCCTCCCCCTAAAACCTCACGTGATTAATGGATGTATATGCCCCCTTATTTACAAAAAAATATTGCTACAGTAATCATTAATTACTGAGTCCAATGATTAACAAATAACTAAGAATAATTCTCATCAAAAAATATTTAGTTACGACAGAGTGAATTTGATTATGGTAATTTGCTTTATTAACAAATCGCTAAATATTCTATCATAAACTATTTAACATCAACTGGAATCAATAGCTTGCATGTGCATGTGGAATCATAATAAACTTATTTACACAAAAACAATTTAATATCTTACAATTACTAGAATAAATCATCAAAATAAATGAAGGAAATTTTGGTCAAATATCTCTTCATAAGTCGTTCAAATATTTACCCATTGCAGAGTAAATTTATTATGGTGAATTCCTTTTGGCAGAAACCGAGGTGAAAATCATATTTGAGGAAGAAAGTACAATTGATCAATCTGATTTATTTTTAATTTAACATATTATAAAAAAAGTATTAAGAAGTGTTTGACTTGAAGATTTACTTCCGAACAGAAGGGTACAAAATAAAAAGAAGCAATTAGATGACCCTAATTTATTCTGTTCTATAAAATTCGTTTTTGTTTAAAGCTATTTATACCACGTAACAAATTGCTTATATGTCTATTGATCTACATTGTGTTAATAAACAAAAACAAAGAAAACATCCAAATTAAAAATCGATCTATCATTAACATCATAATCGATTTCCAAAATCAAATTCACTCTGATTCTGGACAAAAACACCAAGACGAACACATGTCTTCATTTGTTCACAATTTATATAGTATTTCTAATAAACAAACAAATATAGCGCATATCATCAAACTAATTGATAAAGTGTAAAGTCCCACTGACCTGTAATCAAGCTAACATCATCCTCATGGCTCCTATCAGACCCCAAACTTGAACTGGCCGAACTGAACGGCCTGTCAGTACTCGGGTCCGGAGAGCCCCTTTCGAAATGAAACGCGCTTCTTGGAAATCCATGATGATACGGCATGGTGCCTCCTGGTACATACGTGACAGAATTTGCATGGTATTGATAATTTCTAGGCATAGTTCCCACCATCGAAGGTTCCGGAGAAGGTTGCAAAGGGGGCGAAAGATGGCCTCCTCCTGGAGGCTCTGGTGAAGACGGTGAAAGCAGAGGGGTGCCTCCTGGACCCCATGCTGCTGATCGGCGCTTTGGATTGTATCGAGGAGGTCCTCGGAATGGTACTATAGTTTTTGAGTAAATGGTGGATTTACATTTAATAATTTATATTTTATTCGCCTGGTAAACAGGATCACTATATTAGGGAAATCATTTTGATTTTATTGTCTTAATAGTTAAATTTATTTTATCGATTGGCAATACAAATAACTAATGACTGTTTTCACAATTACCATTCAATATCAAACGTGACATTCATAGTTGTTCATATCAGATTTATTTCTAATATAAGGAAAAAAGTACGACACTTCGTAAGAAGTAAGACTTCGTTACGTTTTTGAATAACTATTTGATCTCGATCAGACTTTATTAACCTAAAACACTGCAAAAGATGTTAAAAGTTAAAGTAAGTACAAATTGTAATAAGGCTTTCAAATTTTAAGGAAAACAATGAAGACCTCATAAAGTAATAGCCTGAAGTATTGCAAAATATTGTTGCAAAATTTGCTGCAGATAAAATGATTTTGAGCTTATAAAAGAAACAATTAGAATTCAATTACCTAAAACCTTGCAAACTTTAAAGTAAGTATAAATTACTTATATAGAAATATTGTTTTAGATTTGTAAAAAAAAACAATTAAAACTAAATGGCCTCAAACTGTATATCACATTATATTCATTAATTAAAAACGCCCCAAATACATATTTCTTAAATTTTTTAATCACGATCAGATCAAAATATTTTACCTTCTCTGAAAATTCATATTAATTATATTATTATAATAAACATTACTTTATAAAAAAAAAAAACAAAAGTAATTTTTTCCATGTTCAGGAACACTAAAATGTATCTTTTACATCGTACTGATATTTCTTTGACATCAAAAGGCAAATGACCTATAATCGTTCGATCTTGAACCGTTTGCAAGGAAGAAAAAAAAAAGTGAACATTATTCAAATTATGTGTTAAACCTACGCTTTTTTCCTAATTTGGTTCGAACAATACACATATAGAGCGATATATGTATATATATACAAAGATGTATGTAATTGGGAAAGTAAAATGTTTTGAACATTTATTGTTTAGTGAGTCATGAAATATGTGTAACTTAAAGTAATCCTGTAGTTATTTAAAGATTGCATTACGCTTTTCAGCTTGCAACTTTGTATTGAGAAGAGATACATATGTATATGAAATAGAGATCAAAAATAATTTTTTTCAATACCACCATGATACAAAAAATAGAATATCAAAACATAAATTAGCTTTTAATTATATCAAATGCCAATGCAAAGCCACTATTTAAATGATTCATTAATTTTTTTTTATAAAGTGAATTCTAAACCGAGGCGTCATCTTGTTGGATAAATCATAAAAATATTCTCTTTTGCCAATTTTATGTCAAAACATTTTATTTTCATGCAGAGTCTATTATGTTAACTATAAATTTTTGAAGTTATTAATTTACACAAATATTATTCCATATATCTCATATATTTAAAAAATGTAAGAATCAAGGTTTCTTATAATATAATGAATAGTTGTAACGCGAAAAAATGATCAAGATAATTGGATAATATCGCATCGCACATATATTTAGAGTTTTTTATTCTGACTCAACATGACTTGTGGTGTACCACAAGGCTACGCACAAAGACACCATTTTTAAATTGACTTCGGCAATAAAATCATAGTTTATTTAATTTGGGTTAAACGAGTATGGCAATTCAGATATACCTTTAAAAATAATATTAAGTATTATTGAGATATTATACTTCCTAAAATACTCAGAAACAAACACACCACTCAATAAATGTAAATACTTAGGACTAAAGATAAAACAAATTATAAGTGATTATGGGAAAATATGGATACAATAATAATACTAAATAATGTGTAAAAACGATAAGTGACAGAGTTAATGATAACTAAATATTACTGAATAATTAATGGATTGATAATTAAATGGATGACATTTATTAAAATAATAATAATTTTTGTCTCAAATAACAATATTATAGTATTTAAAATATTTTACTTTTAAACAACAAATAAGCAATGCAAAAAATTACACAAAAACTGAAAACGTCATATATGTAGAAATAACTCGATAATTATTATTATGAAATTAATACTATGAAAAGCATTTCAGTGTATAAATGTTTATAGTTAAGCAAGTTTTTTCATAAATAACGAACAAAAATTCAAAATGATTTGTAGCATGTTGAGAACAATTTTAATAATAAAGATGTGTTCATCATCGAATTTCATTATTATTAACAGCAGTTTATCAATCCTAACAAAAATTCAATGTTTTATAGTTATTGATGATTTAGTGCATATGTGAACATCAATGTGATATAAAAATAAAAATATTCACATAATATCAAAATGAATGAGAATAAACAACACTAAAATTATTAACTAATATCATTTAATAATTTAACATCAATCTGTGGAAAAATTGTTAAATCGCCTGTGAAAAAAATGTGTTGTTATAACATCTAAAATTTCTAATATTTCTTTGAACTTTACCTTCAGTTTCTCAGCAATTTGGTCACTCTTCGCATTTTTTTTAGTAAATCTATGCCAAAGCGCGCAATGTATATAATTTTTAAAAACAATTCATGCTCTAACATTGACTTATGAGCATTTCTTTAAAAATTTAATAAAAATTTAAATTTGCATCAAGATTCAACACTACATCTAACAACTAATCACTACTCTGTCACTATACGTCTAGGAGGCACATTTAACACACATGCTATCTAATTGTTAAACTAGCTGTAAGTGGAATTCTGTCTTAAGGCAATTAAGGCATCGCGCCTTAAGGCAAATTGCTGGAACTTCCCGTACCAAAAATTATTATTTTTTTAAAAAACGATTAACATTTTGAAAAAAAAATTACTTTGAAAAAATAAGATTTTTGAGAAAACTATAATTGGCCCAAAAAATTACTTTTTTTTGAAAAAAAATTTTTTTTTAAAAAAAATTTTTTTTTAATTTTTTTTTTGTTTTTTTTTTTTTGAAAAAAAAATTTTTCTTTATTTTAACATATTGTGGAAGATCTGAACTTTTTTCAAAGCAATCGTACTGTTTTAACTGCATAGGGACAAAATATAAAGCGCGTAAGTGCCGCGTCGCTGTCTAACGCATAAGCATTGGTACGGAACCCATAGGAATGTTAACAAAATGTATACTTATTGTTAAAATCTCTATAAAATATCTGATAATTTGATGTGCATATGTCTAATGATCATTTTTGACCGCCAAATGGCTCATTTTTTTACTTTTTCCTCCATATCTCCGAAACCGCTAGACCTACCTTCATGAAAATTTTATCGATTCTTCATCTTGTCAATACAAGTGAAACGTTTTTTGAATTATTCAAATCGGACGCTCCGTTCTCTTAAAAACTGAGTTACCGTTTTCGGCACTTTTTGCCCCGTATCTTCGGAACGGCTAGACCTGCCTTCGCCAAAAAACTAATCAGCACGTCTCCTTATCAATACGAATCGAATGTTTTTTGAATTATTCAAATCGGTTGATCCGTGTTCCCGAAATCGTCGACGAAAATTTGTATCCGCACATACATACACACACATACATACACACACACATACACACACACATACACACACCACACACACACACACACACACACATACATCCATTTTTTCTAAGGTATGCCAAATGTTCAGAAACCTTTGAAACGTAAAGATATATAAAAATTTCATTTTCGATTTTTTGCGATTACTATAACTTACCCTACGGGAAGTTAAAAAAAACTAAAAATCAGGAATTATAACAGAAGACATCTATTTTAGTTTTGTACCATAAGAATTGATAATCAGATTCTAGTAGAATATCTTGAAAGTTTAATATTTTTGTTCTTTTAGTACAGCTGTATTTGAAATTGCTAATATGAGTAAAAAATTGTCTTTCATATGGTACAAAAATCTACATTTACACGTTCCATCTACTTTGACATGCCCAGTTATAAAAAAAATTATTAAAAAAAATAAAAATGATAAAAATTTAATTACTCACCGATATCTTGGTTGCTGTAATTTCTGATTACTTCAGCCAGTTCCATATTTCCAGCAATCACTGCAACCTGAAATTTTTAAACAACAATTATTAATAATTTTCTGCTAAAATTAGTTGATAGATTGCGCCTAACTTTATTAGGTTCTATAAAAAAACACGTCTTTTTTATAAAATTACCACTATATTATATTACTTTATTTTTATAAATTCATTGATATTCAACTTTCTATCTATTCTTCCACTAAAAACATCAATTATTTTTAATATTTTTCCATAAAATAACTCAAATTGAATATAGAACAACATGTAATAATTGGTAATTTCATTTGTTGCAAGTATTTTGTCTGATTTTTTTATAAAATAATATTCCTAAATTTGCAAATCAGAATAATATAAATAATTATTGGCAATAAATATCTGGATTATTAAAAGGGGCTGATTCTGCTAGACCAATGCTATGGCAAGGCTATGTTATGGAGTGCTATTCTCGAACGTTCATATAAATGGTACTAAAAACTATAAAATGGTCAAAATGTTATGTATTATCTGTGCAGTAAGGCGTTGTACACATAAAATGCAACTTCATCTGTACGTTATTAAACCACACCACGAAGATCCAGTTATGATAACATCGTTTTTGTGCGTTTTCTAGGTTAGGTTTTCTATCCAAAATTGCCTAACTGCACAGCAACCACATAGCATTTGACAGTTTTTAGTACCGTTTTATATGAAGCTACACGAGCGTAGCGCTACGTAGGATGCCCTTGCCATAACATTGGTTTATTTTACGGCAGAATCGGGCCAAATTGTGAATCAAATGTTAAAAGTTTCATCTATTCAATTAAGGGCAAGTTTCTATATTATATCTGAAGAATTCCATTCTTTTTCAAACTTACAACAAACTAATGACAAATATGATGAATGAATTGTCTCCTTTTGTTCTCTATATATTACTCCTTTCCTAATCTATGCTTAGATCCTTATCTATAACTTATTGTTAGTCTTAGATTATTT